ATGGAAGCTGATTGGAGGCCTATACCTGGGGACTTGAGACCAGGAGACCCAGCACCATGGGGCACCTACCAGCCAGTGTGTACCCTGGACCAAGCCACACCTTAATGCCACATCAGAAATCAAAAAAGGCCCAGGTCATGGCTGTACCTGCACATTTGGAGTGCCTGAGCCTGGGCTTGAAGGGACCAACCTAGGTCCTCCAAGACAAGGGCCGTTAGGACTAGGAGGTGTTTCCTGAACACTCATAATGCACAGGCCCCTCCCAGTTTCCATCATACTATATGCTGCCCATTCTGCTGCCCCAAGCTTACTCATTTCCCATAATTGATGCACTAGCCACAAGCCAGATCCAGACTCACCACCTGGCTCCTTATTGCTCCTCACATCGAATGCCCTTCTCCTTGGCTTCACCAACTTCTCATCTATTAAGGGTCCACTTAAAAACCCCTCTTCCAGGAAGCCCTCCCTATTTCACCCAAGGTTCAATAGGCCCCCCATTATCTCCTCTAGGAAGCCTTCGTTGTGCTCCCAGCCCTCCTGGTCTCAACACTCACATCTTCCACAGAGTGGTGGGAGCTCCTGGGCTGGAATCTAACCTGCGCCTGATTCAGGGGGTCAATGGGGCCTGTGCCCTGGATGGGATGTGCCTTGGCTGTGGAAGGGGGGTGGGCTGGCCATGGTGGGGCTTCTTACCGGTTCTGCCTGCCCGGGGGAAGAGGCTCTGCTCTGGATGCTTCCTCGGAATGGACCCCAAGACAGGCCCTCAGCGAGGCTGTGTCGAGCTTGCACGCATTTCTGTCCATCCTGCAGGACCTGCTCCAGCTCGTCTGTGGGGAGAGACATCAGTGGTATGAAGAGCACGTGCTGTGGTGACTACCCAGCCCTGCTGCCTGCCCAGGTTCAGCCCACCTCTGTAGCCCTGGCCCCCAGGAGCAGCCGGGGGGCTGCGGGGCAGAGGAGGGAGGGCTGCCCAGTTACAGAGATGATAGCTGGTGCCTGGCTTCTGGGAGCCAGGACAGCCCCTGTGGCAAGACCACTCCTGGAGACAATGGGCTGCAGAGATAGGACAATGAGGGGTAACTGCAGCTGGATTAGAGCATGCAGGTGCACAGCTTGGGAACCATGGCTGCTGTGTCAGGGACACGCATGGTCTGGAGATCCCTGCTGCTCTGTCAGGGACACACGTGACCCTCGCACAGGCCAGAGTGGCACTGACAAAGTTGCCTGTGCCCAGGATGCATGTATGAAGCCAGGTCATCCCTGCTGCCTATGCTGGGGTGGCAAAGAGTGGAGGATGATGATGTTGACAAGACCCACCCCTATCACCTCCGCACGGTCCTCCCAGCCCCTTCCCATTGGCTGGGTCCCTGATTCTGCAGAGCAGGCTGGTGAAGGTAGCCGTGGAAGAGTTGGGCTTTGGTTTCCACATCTATAAGATGGGGTCCCCAACACTTCCTACCTCCTCAGGGTAGTATGAGGCTTGAATGAGTTAATCCACCTAGCATGCTTAGCATTGGGCCTGGTGGGGGAACCGAGGCACCGAACCAAGCACTTCCCCCGAGCCCCTCAGCAAAGCCAGAAACTGAACCTAAGTGATGGTGAGGTCAATTCCATTTACTCCCCACAGATTGGTGGGGACGCCAGAACACTGCTGCTCCCATACCCCTCACAGGACCCTTGCTCACTCTCTGGAAGGTCTGTACCCTGACTCTTGCTGAGGCCCTCAGCCAACTGAGGCACTGGGCCAGTTGCGGCCTCTCTCGCGACCTATCTCCTAGCTGAGGGTGTAAGGCACCCAGGGGGCTGTGGCTACCTGTGCTGTGGGCGGGGCCACATTCTTGGGGGCTCTGTCAGCTCAAGGGGCCTTGGCCTTGACTCCATTGCATGGCTAGAGTAGTGGCATCCGCTGCAGGATTCTGTTACATTTACACAGACAGACGGGCCTCAGCTGTAAGGCCCTGCTACGGTCATTCTCACGGGGCAGGGTGGGACCGTGGAGTTGAACAGGGTCTGCAGTCAGGCTCCAGGGTTCAGTCTAGCCTCACTACATGATCCACGTGACCTTGTATAGTGGGTTGAATGGTGGCCCCCAAGAGATCCGTCCACCTGGAACCCGTGATTACATCCTTATTTGGAAAAAGGGTCTTTGCAGATGTAATCAAGTTAGGATCTCAAGATGAGACCATCCTGGATCATCCAGTGGTCCCTAAATCCAATGACAAATGTCCTTATAAGAAGAGACACACAAAGGAGAAATGCGAGGAAGAAGGCCATGTGAAGACAGAGGCAGAGAAGGTGTGATGCAGCCAGGAGAAAGCTGTGCCTGGGGCCCCTGGGAGCTGGGAGAGGCAGGAAGGACCCTCTTCTGGAGCTTCCAGAGGGAGCATGGCCCTGCTGACACCTGGATTTGGGACTTCTGGCTTCAGAACTGTGAGAGAATAGATTTCTGACGTTTTAAGGCACCAAGGTTGTGCAAATTTGTCAGGGCAGCCCTGGGAAACTCACACCTGCATGTTACCTGCCCCCACCCCCACAGCCTCACAGCCTGACAGCCTTAGTGTCCTCATTGGACAAGGGGATGGTGGTGGCTACGCTCTCAGAGGGCAGCCCCTCCCCAGGGCACACACCCTCTGCCCAGGAAGGGCTCGCCACATTATACCTCAGGTGCTACCTAGGCTGTCTGGGCCCATGGAGGCCTCACATGGCCCGGCCTGGTCCCCGAGTGAGCACTGCTGTGGCGGCCCCACTTCCTGGAGCCCCGATTGGGCAGGCTGTGGCCTTAATGGGCCCGATTATCAGATAACTGCCGGCCTAATGGCAGAGATAACGTGTAAATATGCCAGGAGGCCCAGCTAAAACGTTCTAACTGGGTCCTTGTCTTCCCCAGGGCAGATAAGATGGCAGGGGACCAGGGCGAGGCCAAAGAGGCCGGCGCCCCTTTATCAGCCTCACAGAGAGGAGGGCAGAGGCCGGCTCTGTTGCTTTGTGGCCTGCCCATGAGGGGCCTCGTCCTCTGCCAGCCCACCCAGGATGCCTGGGTCCCAGCCCATGGGCCACCCCCTCCCCTGGCCCTGTAGTGCTTGGTACCAAGGGACCGAGTAAGAGCTGGCTGGTCATCATGGACAGGAGTGTGGCCTGGCCACACGCAGTCACCTGATCCTGCCCAAGCTGCCCTATGAAGCTGGCCCTCTTCTTACGTCCCCTGTACAGATGAAGAAACTGAGGCCCTGAGAGGCTTTGTGGCTGGCAGCAAGATGCCAGGATCTGAACATAGGCTGCCTGGCTCCAAACACTGACTGGGGTCCCGGCCCTTCATGTCCTGGGTGTATCTGGGTCTCTGGCCCTCTAGCCGGCTGACCCTCAGGGGTATGTGTGGGAGGAAGAGGCTGTCTAGAGATGAGCTCACTGGGAGTTCATTTGTCCATCCAAGCGTCTGTCTCTCTAGCCATCTAATGGGTCCAAGTGCCGCTTCTGAGGCTGGTGGAGAGCCCCCCGTGGACTGAGCCCACTCAGGGCCGTGGGATAAAGGCAGAAGCATACAGAATCCTAATTCCATGCCTGCCCCTACCCTGACAACCGGACATGCACTAAGCCACCCAGGGATCAGCCTGCACTTGGGCCTCTGAATAGGGCTGCCCATGGCCCCTCTGGGAGCTAGTTCTGGTAGGGCCACATGCAGGACAAGGCCACGACTCCCTCTGTTTTCACATATTATTTTCCTTTCTGTGTACAGAACGTTTATGACGGAGCTGTTCTCAGCCTTGTCGGTCATGGAGCCCCCATAAGGAGATAACGCCTTCCGTCTGAGGCTGGTGCCCACCTTCCTGAGGGAGGAGGAACTTGGAACTCAGCTCAGTCTCCCATGTGTGGGCCGAGCCCCACCCAGACCCAGGGACACAAAGCGGGAAGGAGGCGGTTGGCCCAAATCACCCCTTGAGCGACAGAAAGAATGGGGTAGTCCCAGGACTCCCTACTTGTCACAGCTACAGGGGCCTGTGGTCCCTTTCCCAGGGATCTGGTTTGCCCCCTACCGTGTCAATGAAGGAAGTGGGCCCCCCACCTGTCCATACATGCACCCATAGGCAAACGGCCATGATCCCTAACTGGAGCCCCTACAGCTGGCCAGTGGGGCGAGCCTCCCCGATAACAGCATGGCTGGTATTCCCCATGGCAGCTGCTGCATCGCCTGGGTATCATGTACCGCCAGAGAGGGCTGGCTCCTGATAAAGGTGGCCGTTCTGCACACCCAGGGGCAGAATCCACCATTCAGGGCTCCGGGGGCTGGTCAAAGCCTTGGAAAGGCAGGGAGGCATGGGAACTGAGGGACCTAGGCTGGGGATTGGCAATGGTCACTGTGACAACCCACCTCCTTGGTCTTAGGGAGGCTGTTTATGGTCTGAATGCAGGGCCATGGCAGGTGCCTGGCTTGATGAGGAGAACATGGCTGGATCCCAGTGTCAACTCACCCACTGACTACTCTTGTGCAGTACGCAACCCGTGCAACTATCTATGGCAGCCCTCATGATGTTCAACTGCTCAGATAACCTATTTCTAGCTTCTAGTTCCTTCCCAAATCCTTACTTGGCTGAAATGGGGTCAAGCATGGTTAAAGCCCAGTTAGCACCTAGCAGAGACCCTCTCCCAACCTGAAGTAAAACTGCATGAGAAAAGTGGGGGTGGGTGGGACCATCTACTCCTGGCAGACTAGGTACCTCACGAGGGCTCAGTTCAAGTCCAAAAATGAGTGAAAGCAGAAATGAGTAAGGGAGAGAGGTTAAGGGGTGGGAGACACTGAGCCAGGAGTAAAAGCTGGCAGAGAGAGTGACAGGCAGGAAGATGTCGTTATTTTCAAACAGCTTCTATAATAGCTGGAGGACCCAGACAGTGGTGGCCTTGCAAATGGTCAGCTCCTAACCACAGTGACAGGAAACCCAGGGCCCAGGAACACTTAAACCATACCCTGAGCTTGGGCTGGAGGTGGGACTGGAACCCAGGTCTCTGGACTTGTGGCTCAGTCACGAAACCCCATATGGGCACCTGGGACAGGGACAAGAAAGGCATAGCCTCTGCCCTCGGTGGCTCCCAGGAAACACATGTGTTGGCATCTCCAATGGTGGGCCAGTCAGGGTAGGCTTGCAGGTGGAGGTGTCCTCCCCGGCAACATCCTGTGACCTATATTTCCATTTCCTTCTCCCAGACCAGCTGGGGTGAGGAAGGCACAGAGAGATGCCAGCTCCGGCCAGGTCCTGGCCAACTTATCCCTGCTCTATTTATCCTGGTCCCTGGTCCCTCAGCTAGAGAGTGAGGGCGATGCCATTTGTCCCAATAAGTTACAACCCTCACACAATTTCTGGCCCCCATTATTGAGCCTTAGCCAAGCACATGGCACAATCTACAGGGAATTCTCCTAGTCACACTGAACTTGTTCTCTGTTGCACAGAGCGGGAGACTGAGACTCAGAGAAGTTAAGGAACCAGCCCAAAGTACACAGCAGGTAGGTGGGATTTGAATCAGAGCCCCAGCCATGCTCATGGCCAGGGTTTGACACCCCTTTCTGTGCTGAGGCAGGAGGTGATAGAGAAAACAGGACAGGGAGGCTGCTGGAGTCAGCCCCCAGCTCTTGTCCCGTGGCTGACTTCCTGCTCTGTCCTCGTTTTCCCATCTGCAGATGGTCTCCTCTGGGAGAGGGGCAAGCCCACGCTGCCTGGGTGGACCCCTTACCTCCACGGGGGTCGGGCCATTACTACGGGGATAGCATTAGGACAAAGACTAATTTATTCTGGTAAACAAGCCCACACACATTATTTCCAGGACAAGCATGCTGCAC